GGAGTGAGGCCAGTTATGGTGGAAAAGGCCAAATGGAAGCCTGTAGATCTGCTTCTGTCTAGGAAGATAGTAAACTAAAAGCGATGCTGCGTTCTTGAGAGAGCACAGAGAGATTAGTGCCACCATAAAGAATTTAAAAGGTGCAGTGGTGGTGATTCCCACCACATCCCCATTCATCTTACTTATTTGACCTGTGCAGAAAACAAGTGGATCTTGGGGAATGACAGTGGATTATTATAAGCTTAAGCATGTGGTGACTGTAACTGCAACCATTGTACCAGGTGTGATTTGATTGCTTTAGAAAATTGTTACATCCCCTGGTACCTAGTGTATACCTGTTGATCTGGCAAGTGCTTTTTCCCCATATCTGTTAGTAAAGACCACCAGGAGCAGTTTGCTTTCAGCTGACATGGCCAGCAATACACATCCAATGCCCTATCTCAGGAATAGATCAGTTCTCCAGCCCTATGTCATAGTTCCCAAGGATTTTGATTAGCTTTCCCTTACTTAAGACATTATACTGGTCCATTATATTGATGACATTATGCTGATTGAATCTAGGGAATAAGAAGTAGCAATTAACTACTCCAGACTTACCAGTAAGACATTTGTGTGTCACAGGGTGGAAAATGAATCTAACAAAAATTCGACCTCTTTGAAATTTCTAGAGGTCCAGTGGTGTGGGGAATATAAAAATATTCCCTTCTAAGGAGAAGGGTAATATGTTGCATCTGGCCTCTCCTATAGCCCAAAGAGGTAGAATGCCTCATGAACCTCTTTGGACTTTGGAGACAGTATATTCCTCATTTCAGTGTGCTACGCTGGCTCCTTCACTAATATGGGTTTTGAGTGGGGCCCAGGACAAGTGCAAGTTCTACAAGTCCAGGCTGCTGTACAAGTTGCTCAGTTGATCCAGTAGATGCAATGTCAGTGGAAACTAGGGGTACTGTTTTGAGCCTTTGGCGGGCCCCTATGGCTGAATCAGAGCCCAGGCCATGGGCTTTTAGAAAAGCCCTGCCAATCTCTGTGTATAACCACTCACCTTTTAAGGAACTGTTTTGCTTGCTATGAGGTATTAGTAGAGACTGGACACTTAACTACAGGCCATCAAACCAGAAAGTAGAGCGTGCAAAGCAGCACTCCATCATCAAATGGAAGTTGTAGATACAAGGTTGGGTTTGAGCCAGCCTTGAAGGCACAAGTAAGTTAGATGAAGGGACCAAACTGTCCATGGTCTTCTTTCCTTTACCTCCTCTCTTCCAGCCTGCATCTGTGACCTCATGAGGAGTTCCCTATGATTAGTTGACTGAGGAAGAGAAAATTGGGATCTTCTTTACAGATGGTTCTGCACCATATGCAGGTACCACCTAGAAGTAGACAGCAGCAACACTACAGACTTTTTGGAGGGCACATCCCTGAAGGACAGTGGTGAAGGGAAATCCTCTCCATTGGTAGAACTTTGGGCAGTATACTTGGTTGTCCGTTTTGCTTGGAAGGAGCAATGGCCAGAGGTACAAATCTGTACCAGTTCAGGCGCTGTGGCCCATGGCTTAGCTGGATGGTCAGGGACTTGGAAGGAACATGATTGGATAGTTGGTTACAAGGAGTTCTTGAGGAAGAGGTATGTGGCTAGACCTCTTGGGATGGGCAAAAATAATGAAGATATTTGTGTTGTATGTGAATGTTCACTGAAGGGTGACTTAAGGAGAGGATTTAATAATCAGGTGGATAGAATGACTCATTCTGTGCATACCAGTCACTTTCCCGGTCACCCGTGCATTACCCAGTAGATTCATGAACAAAGTGGATGTTCTGGCAAGAATAGAAGTTATGAGTAGGCTCAGCAACATTAACTTCTAGTCACCAAGGTCAACCTTGCTGTGGCCTGTGCTGAGTGCCCAATCTGTCAGCTGTAGAGATCAACAGTGAGGCCCCAATATGGCACTGTTTCCCAGGGTGTTCAGCCAGATACCTGACAGCACATTGATTACATTGAACTGCTTCTATCACAGAAGGAACAGTGCTTTTTTCAGTGCCTTTTTTTGTTTGTTTTTTTACAGAATAGATATTGTGTATGGATTTGCCTTCTTTGCATGCAGTACTTCTACCAAATCTACCCTCCAGAGACCCACAGAATGCTTTAGCTAACGTCATGATAGTCCACACAGCATTGCCTCTGACCAAGGAGCTCACCTTGAGGCAAATGATTTGTGGCAGTGGACTCGTGCTCATGGAATTCACTGGTCTTAACATATTCCTCATCCTCCTACAGCGGCTGGGTTGATAGAACAGTGACATGGCTTTTTGAAGACTCAGTTACAGTGCCAGCTAGGTGGCGGTAACTTAAAGGGCTGGGGCAGTGTTCTCTTGGAGGTCCTATGTGCTCCAAATTAGCATCCAGTACATGTTTCTGCCACAGCCAGGATTCAGGAACTGAGAACTGGAAATGGGAGTGGCACAGCTCACTAAGACCTCTAGTGATCCAGTAGCGAAGTTTTGCTTCCTATCTCTGTGACGTTATGCTCCGCTAGTCTTGAGGTCTTAGTGGCCGTCTTCAGTAATGTTGTCTGGCATTTGAAGTAGTCTTTCCTTGAGTCTTCCTTGAGGGCCAGTAGATCATAGAGTTACTTGCGGAGACTGTGGAATCTAGAAGAACTGCTGCCTAATAGGGAACAAATTACTTAGCCACTTTGAGTAAAAGTGTCTCATCTGAAAAGCATGCATAATATACCTCATTCAAAGGATCGTTCTGAAGTTCAGATGAGGTGATGCATGCAGAATACATACATGCTGCTTGGGCCTGGGTGCATGTGAGCACTAAATTCTACAACTGTCTCTTCCCTTAGGGGAACATTTCTCCTGTGATCACTTGAACTATTTCCTTACTACTGTGTATTCCATAGTTTTGCTTCTGAAATTCCTTTTATGTATTTTCTTTATATGCTCTGTACTCCCTAACATTTTACTCATTATTATCATTGTTTTCATCTTTTTTTCTGAGTTCATGGGGAAATCTCTAAGCCAATTTTCTAAATCACTAATTTGTTTTTCTATTCACTTCTCACTTTAGAGGTTTTAATTGAGTAATTGTGGTTTTTATCTGAAGGCAAGCTTTTATTAGTTTAGATTGTTTGATTTTCACACATTTAATCTCCCTTTTAAAAATAAATACTTTTCTACTATAAAGTAGTACAAGTTCACTATAAACAATTAGGTAATAAAATAGCCACTAGTATTTTGGTGAATACTTGCCAGGTTTATTATTATTATTATTATTATTATTATTATTATATGTTTATATAAAGTAATATAATGTATTTGTATATATGTTCATATATGAGGAAGACCTTTTGCTTTTGTTACCTCCTTTATAATTTAATAACATGTCAATAAACATGTTATTCTTTTTAAATAATAAAATAATGTTCTCATATTTCATTTTGTTTTTTTATTATTTTTTTAAAATGAAATTTATTGTCAAATTGGTTTCCGTACAACACCCAGTGCTCATGCCAAAAGGTGCCCTCCTCAATACCCATCACCCACCCTCCCCTCCCTCCCACCCTCCATCAACCCTCAGT